TGTCCGTCCTCCCCCCCCATCCCATCCCATCCCATCCCATCCCGCCCCGTCCCGCCGCCCCCCGCGTCCCTCCCGTGGGGCCGAGCCGGGCCGGGCCGTCCCGCCCGCGGCGGGCACGGGGGAACGGGGGTTGGCGGTCGCCCCCCGCGGCGCCCCGGCCCCGCCGCCCCGGCCGCCCTCCCTCCTCACCTCCGAGTCCACTCGAAAATGGCGCCGAAACCGAAAAAACTTCGCAAATTTCATTGTAGGCGGCTGCAAGGGCTGCTGGGAGCGGGGGCGGCCGCAGCACCGCCCGGCGGGGCGGGCCGGGCCGGGCTGGGCGCGGCTCGGGGCGGAGCGGGGCGGGCGATGCTCCGCCGGTACCGCCCGGAGGGGGATGCGCGGCCCCCGCGGGGACCGGCCGGGCAGGGCTGGGTTCACCTGACCCCAGTCCGGTCGCTGCCGAAAGCTGCGTGCAGGGAACAAATCCTCAGTCTGGGGAAAAAGTAAACAAGTGTTTATAAACCTCGAGAGCTGCACGGGAGCGGTGGGGAAGCGCGGCTTCGCCTGTCGTGCAAAGCGGCTCGTTCCGCTGCTCTTCCCTCCGTGGTTTATGGCCTCTTGTAACCCACTCGGAGCAGGGATGATGCTTTCCCAGAGCTGCTTGGGTAAAAGTTGATGTCTTGTTACTCAGTGGGTGGTTCTGCCCGTGCATTCACACGACATCAGAGTGAATCTTAGAGTTGTTCTTTTTCCCCTTCATTACTGTGATATGAAGTTCTCCACAAACACCGATTCGCAGCCCTCCTTTCCCCGACCCATAGGCTCAGTAGATATTCCCCCTGTGCTATAACATGTCCAGAGTCACACAGGATCGATGGGAGCAGGATTTCAGAGCCCACATCTCGCATCCCTGGTGTGGGATGGCACCACGACACTCGCGGGAAAGATGGGTGGTTTGGAGACATGGTTTTCTGAAGACTTTTAAATTTGAAGAGTCAGAGCTTGGGAGGATGGTGATTTGTGCTGGTGCGAAGTCTGACAAGGTGAGGCCTAGGGGAAGGTGATGCTGAGACGAAGTGATCCTTTCTGAAGAGAGAACCCAGATCTGGCACTCAGAAACTTCCAGGTTTGTCACATTCATTGGTGGAAATGGGCAAAGCTGCCAAGTTTCTTGTTGGTTTGGTAGGTTTATAATCTTCTAACAGTTTTTATTTCTACCTCCACCCCAAACAGCAAAAAAAACCCCAAATCCTGTTGCTAAATAATTGCTCTGTTCTCACAGGTGAGCAGTGAAGCTCAATTAATTCTGCTTTGTGAAGAGCTTCTGATCCTCTGATGGAAACATGTAGGGGCAAAACACTATTATTTTGCAACTTGCAAAGGATGATAAGAGCAGTGAAAACGGAAAAACCTCACCACTGAGGGGGTTTACAACCCTGCACTTTTTCCACTTGAGATCTTAGAAACTAGCTGATGGCTGCTGCTTTTCATTTAGAAGGGTTTTTCCCCCCCTTTTGAAAGAAATGCAATCACTACCAAGTATTCTGGAGGGACTTCATCTTTAAACAAATAATGTTTTTCTTGTTGGGTGTGCACTATTATTTTCTTAATTATTCCTGGATTTCTGCCTGTTCCACCAAGAGTTTTCTCAGATGGCAGAAACAATTGGTCCTTTTTTTATTAAGCTAATAGCAAAAAGTATCCCTAATAAAAAGACTCTGTACATCCCATAAACTCAAACAGGACACATTTTGCCAACAATCACACCTCTTCATTGAGGCATCTTATATGTTGCCTTTTTTTTTTTTTTTCCTTACTTTTTCTCCCTGCATTACTATTGTTTACTACTCAGCCTCACTGGCTGGCTGCGTTTCAGTGCCAAAACGAAACGAATCAAGTCATTTATTTAGCACCACAGCCCTCCCACTCACCCTTAGCATGTATGTTGTATGTTGAGATTTCAGCAGATGTGGTGGGGAATGAATGGGCAAAGAGATTCACCTACACAGAATCACATCTACATGTGGGTGGCCTCTAATTAATTTGGCTTTGAGGCTCCGCTGCAAGGTAGATGGGTTAGGAAGTCTGGCCAGGAGTCATCTGGTTGAATCATACCTATTCTATGGAGAACTTCATTGTGTAGCTGTGTCTGACTCCCACCCTTGTGAGAACTAATTAAAAATGAAAAAAAAAAAAAAAGCCCCACACTTATTGGAAGTCAAATATACATGTCAGCATTTCGGATGAAATGGTATCTTGGGAGGCTCCTGCACATTTAATCAGCTGGTTGCGCCATGTATATCATGGTCTCAAAAGCTGCACTGAGAACCACGAAAGGCACTGGCTTAACATCAGCAAAAGTGTTTGCCAAGCTTGGATTATGTCACTGCTTTATGATCTTGCTTTGTAAAGGGAGAATACTCTTGGGGAGAAAGGACTCGACATGCTGGATCTACAGCGAGAGCGAGGAATGAATGCTGCTCACAGAGACCGGGGGAAGGGCGAGGGATTGTGTTTGCTGGGTATTTTTGCAGATGGATGCTGTATGGCCCCTGCCTTTGAGCAGAGATGTGCCCCACGGATCACTGGGGCAGAAGGCAGAAAGCCCAAAGCACCCCAGTGAAGCTGTTTGCTGCTTGCCCTCCCACAGGCACACCTGCAGGGTCCTGCCTAGGTCCTGTTCCTCGCCTGTCCACCGGCTCTCGGGGCACTGCAGTTGCACTCCAGAGATGCAGTGAGGCCCACTGGCTTTCCCTTACCTTGGCACAGACACCAAACCGGGTTGGGGCTTGTCATACACTCAGAATGCCATACCCTGGATGGTTAAAAAAAATAAACATCCTGCACCACACATACGAAAAGTGGCCTGCTGAAATCCTTCTGCTCCCTGTTGCAGGGATGAGCTGTGGCAGCTTCTTCCATGCTGCAGGCTGATGGCAAAAGCAGGAAACTCTTTGAGGACATCAATTCTGTTTGCCCAATGCCTAACCAAATGCCAGGTTTGCCTCTGCTGTCCACAAGTGAAAGAAGAATAAAGCAAAAACTTGCAGGCTACATGCCCTTTCAGGAGGGATATTGATGGGACAAGGTACATTGGAGAGGACAAATGGCTCAAGAGAAACACCTCTTCAAAAGCAGTCCCTGGGGTCTGAGAGCTGTGCTACCCAAGCTGCCCTTGCTTTCCTGTTGCAATGAGAGCCTTGTGCAGCCCCTTCTCCCCACCTGGCTCACTGCCAGAGCATCCTGCCCAGCCTGGAAACTTTCCACTGCTACTGAGCTAATAAACTTCACTGCTTCTTGGATGAGTGTCTGGCCAGTCCCTAACCATACCCTGACATCAGGCTTTGGCATGGGAAAGGGGGTCCCTGAGTCTGCAGGGGCTGTGTGGGGCACAGGGAGTGTGGGTGGGCAGTCTGGGGTGCCTGGGATGGTGGCAAGGAGCAGCCCTGGCATTTCACATTTCCCCCAGCTCTGCAGGTGGTGTGACAGTCCCAACCATGGCTTTCTGGGCACCCTCTGTGCTTGTACCCTCAGCCACTCGCCGCAGTGTGGAAGAAGGGTGTGGTGGCCATGCCGATGGGTTTTTGGCAGCATCTTTTGCCTTCTCTTGGCTCAAAGTGTGCCCAGAACATAGCACTGACTGGACAGGGATTTCATTACCCACCATCCAGCCTGCCAGCACAACCTTGTCATTGCAATTTGTCACACGTGTTTGGGATGTGTTCAGTACCTCGCCAAGGGCCCGTTTGCCAGGCGGTTCATCTCATCACTCCTTGTCTGCCGTGAGGAGCAACCGGGCCGTGCTGTGGCCTTCCAAGGCAGAGGGGTGTGAACCAGCAGCATGACATTGCCTACCATTGGTCTCCTTTTTTTAATTTTCCCTAGAGGAGGGTTATTTGTGTAAAAAGTAACTACTTTTGTTGAAACACTAATTTTAAACTATTTTTTTCTAGTTTGGGGATGGAAACCTTCTGCAAAGGCACCAGCTCCCCACTCTTCCCCTCCTTGTCTTTGCAGTTATTTGCTGTATTTATTTACTGCAAAATTTGCTGTATTGCCTGACATTTTTCGGTTATCAAAATATTTTGATTATGTGCAGGGGAGGGGGCGGGTTGATAGCGCAACCGACATCTCAATAGAAAACTGCCTGTAAAATATTCTGACTAAATTCAGGGCGGGGAAGAGTGAGATACTCCAGCCTGTCCCTGGCAGGCCTTTGGCATTGCTGCTGTGATCTGGCCTGTGCAGAGCCCAGGGTCAGCTCGGCATTTCCCTGAATATTTCCCTTTGTATTTCCAGCCCTTTTGTGAGCTCTCCCCATGGATGCATCAACTGGACCAAGCACAGAAATGAGGGCAGGGGAGAAGATGCTGCTGCAGAACCACATCCCAAAATCACTGCAGAGGTTTTCTGGTACAGTGTGAGAGGGGACAGAGGCAGGATACAAAAAGTAGAGCTTGAAAGGATGGGAGGCAAGTTGCACATCAAGGTCACTCCAAAAAGGGCTGGAGCACTTTCCACTTTGTTCTCTCTCACTGTGAAAAGCAGAAGCATGGCTGCCCATAGGATAACCAGCAGCACATTGGCTGTGGAGGTGTCTGCTGGCCTCGTCCTTGAGCAAATGCCATTGGCAGAAGATGTGCTGACCATGAGTGAGGAGCTGCCTGCATCTTGAAAGCAACGCTGCTCTCATGGATTTGAAATAACATTGAGAAAATATCTGTTATAGCAGCTCTTCAGCTTCTTCGTGCAAAAGTGTTAACAGTTTTGAAGATCAATATTTATTGAAACAGCACACGATGACTTTGTCTGCTCCTGTACCTAAACAAGCTCCTCTGACTTCCCCAAAGCCAGCAGGTTTAAAACTTTTTTCTGAGTTGTGCTATTAAACTTGCAATTTGTCATTGAGACAGTATTCTGTCAGAAGTGCAGTACTGTGGGCATGTGCATATAAATATTGTATCCTTCTGGCAAAGCAAAATGTCATGATAGGATGATGTGTTATTTAATACAGAGCCATAGAATAGACAGGGACATTCACAATACAAACCAGTGTCAACATCAGACAGTTGCAAAAGTCCTTGTTATGCTGATACAATAGGAAAACTGATATCTGTAGCTGAATATTTTATGCATTGTGCTCTGTGACCATCCCCTGGACCTCTGATGTATGACACATATCTTAAATTATACCGTCCAGGAGTCATTTGGTACAATTCAAGGCAATAGCCCCAGGAAGAATCCCTTAGACATGCGAGGAGTCTATGAAATGGTAGGTT